CAGCTCAGTTTTTACTCTCAAAACAGGTACCTGCGTGTACTGAACTAATGAATTGTTAAAATTGACAGTGCCTGCGAACACGGAATTATAATATATGTACCTATACGGGTACCTGCGTTTACCAAGCTAGAGTCCATGAAAAAAACCAAAAACTTTTAATAAAGTATGATTTACAAATAAAATATAACAAGATAGGGGAGACCTTTGAAGAGGGTAGCTTCAGGGTGCAAGATTCAGAGACGATTTCAAAACCTTAGAATTGGACTGTCCACGAAGGGGCCATCGCAGAATTCTGTGAATTGGGATTGGGACTGACAGGTATGTGCCTTTCAGGGCCAGACTTGCAAACCAGTTCCCTACTTGAAGATGGTCCCTTAATAAGTTTGAATACCTTTCATCTTGAAGTGCTGGTATCTCATGTGGGTGTTGTAGAAAGCACACTCTGCAATACCATAGGAACGCTTGAGAAAAAAAAAACGGGATCTTGTGCATCTGCGCATTACATGTCCTCCATCTGATCACCTGGAGTACCAGAAGGGTTTTCTTCCACACAATTCCATTTAAAAAAAAAAAGTTGTGCTAGCAAGGTATGGGGGTTTGATAGCCAGAAGCGGCTGGCAACATGGCCCAGCTGTTGACAAGCCCTGCCAAAATCCTTCCTCATGGAGGTTTGGGTCTTGGTAAGGGAAGTGAAAACATTAACGTGTTTGTTAAGCTCCCTCATGAATGCATCATCGAAGAGTTTGCCTGGTGCCCGGGGTCCCAATTCTTTGGCGCCCAGTTCCGCAGACTTTCTGTCAATACGGAGTGCTGCTTTGCGCCTCTCAGAGAAGAAGTAAACATTGGTGTTTCCGATGAAACAGAAACATCTCTGTGCCCATTCATTGATATCGTGAGCCCATTCCCAGACAGTGCTGACATCAAAGGAGTTGGCCCTCAAGAACACATCATCTGCCCGTAATTTTATCCTTGAGAGGGGTTCGATAGAGTCCAGCAATTTGTCTTGGGTGCCTCAATCCTTTCTCAACTCCCTTGTGGGGTCGCAGCCACCCCTTGACATGAAGGTCATCATCAGCTAATCAAACTTAGGTGTCTCAGCCACTTTGTTTGGGAGGGAAGGGTGTGGGCATTCCGACCGCAAGCGGTTATGGACATCTTTATCCAGTGGCTTACAGGTGCATAAAGTTGGTCAGGTGTTTGGGGAGGGCACCAGTCTCCGGAACATGGGTGACGGATGTTGCGCGAGCCCTGACAGAGAGCACTGATCTGATCTAAAACAGTTAATTTGAGGTTATGGGTGATATCCCTTTAAGCAGTATGTCCTGAAAAATCCTGTGCAACAATTAATATGTAAAATACAACATAGAATAATCATAGAATAATCATAGAATAATCTGAAAAACACAAGATGAATGTAGCATAGAAGATTACTTCAGATAGCAACATTAAAATATACCAAATACAATAAGGAAACAACCCCAAAAGAGGAAATAAGAGCATAAAGTAATGGAGAAGAGTTATACTCTGACCTGTCTGCTTAATACAGCAGCAAAGAAAGAGGAGGTGCTTAGGTCACTATACCTCATGTACATCCTGCCCACTTGTGAATGGTTCTTTTTTCCTATGTTCTTCTTTGCTGCTGTGGAGCTAGTAAAGAGATCATGCAAAATATGAGGCCTCTTATCATGTTGTCAAATTCTTAAACAGAATTCGGACGATCCAAAACATTGCATGAATCCGGGAAAATATATCTGCAAGAGTTTGGATTAAGCCCAGCTGGGAAAGCAGCTTGATGCCATGAACGTAAACTGAAATTCATGGTTGAAAGTATAATCCCTTTACTTTGAATATACATATAGTACCTTAACATCAGAGGATAAGAAACAAAATTATGTATAGATTTATGCAAACATCGGGGGAGGGGGGAAGGGTTGTCTGCCTTTACATCTAATTAACTTGCACATACGAGACTGGTACCAATGCTGAAGTACAAATGTAGGTCAGTAGTTATACATTTTAACCCTTTGCACGCTGGATACTTGCATACTTTCCTTATCTATTAATTATGTAGGAATTCCCCATGTCACTTTAAATACAAGCTACAATTTGTATTTTTTTTTTTCACTTTACAATTGCACGGCCAAATGGACAAAAAACATTTAAATGTTAATGAAATGAGCTTGCTTTCTGCCTCTCCTAATGCATTTGTGTATTTGAATAATAACGATGGTGATTAAGAAAATAAATAAATAAAATTGCACACTGTCTAAGCAGAGCTGCCCCCTGCTCAGTCCGATAATTGTATGATCTCTATATTAATAACTGACGCCAGAAAGTACAATTAAAAGTCAGAAATGTACGCCAGCCAGACCCAGGATGGTCAAATTTTTCCATTAAATAACTGAAAGGCAAAAGGCAACCTAATTATTTGAAAGCCAGCTGGGTCCCGATAAGCTTTGACTGCTATTACTTGGAATAGGAATGCTTTAAGTTTAATATTGAGGTTTGGGCACGTGCAGAATCCAAAGTGCCAGTGGTGGTATTTTTCTTTTTTTGAGCACTTTATGAAAATATTCAGCATCTTTCTTTTTTGTGTGTGTATATTTAGCAGTCTATTAAATAGATGACTAGAGATTCATATATGAGCAAAATGGCAATACATTAATAAAGGA